GATCTTTTAGAAAAAGAATACCGAATACAGTGCTTTCTTCAGGGCACGAAATAGCTTAAAAATGAAGCATTTCGTTTAGTTGTTAAAATAAAATGTTTGAATCGCAATACCAATAGTCGATGTGATTGGAAATTCTGAACGTCACTATTTTTAGAAGTGCAGTCTTTCACTTTTAAGTTTTAACATAGAACTTGTAGTTAGAAAGTTATTCTTATTTTTTTTTCCTGCGAATTTCGAAAGGAACATAAAAGAAAATACTTAATATGAGAAATAATATGAGGACTCTCTGTGAAAAATCCCTTAAAAGACATAAAACTTGCAACGTTATTTCTTAGTTTTTTTTAAACTTATTTATTTTTTTTTTAAATTTTTATTTTGCATGTTTCTTTTTTTGTTTGCATGTTCATTTTCTTTTTCTCTTTCATTTTGCACGTTTCTTCTTACTTTTTTTTTTTTTTTTTTTAAACTTTTTCTTTGATTTTCATGTTTTTATGTAAGCAGTCATGCTTTCCGACAATAACATTACCTGACCAAGAGAAATCTTTTAAAGGACATAAAACTTGAAACATAATTTCTCAGTTTTTTTTATTTATTTTTTATAAAATGAAATTTTTATTTTGCATGTTCATTTTCCTTTTTTCTTTCATTTTGCACGTTTCTTCTTATTTTCCTCTTTGGATTTTCATATTTTTATGTAAGCAGTCATGTTTTCCGGTAATAATAGTGACCAAGAAATTTCAAAGGTACATATTTTAAAACCCATCTTGCTTTAATCGCATGCAACTGAATAATTAAACAGGAGGTTATGACTTTAATGATAGCATTAGAGGTTAGAACCTGGAATCTTTTAGCTTAAACTGCTATAGTGTTCCACCTCGCTATGTTTATAGCCATTTTTGGTAGTGATGCTGAAATTTTTTTTCCATTTGCATTTAAAACTATGTATCAATCCAAGAATAACTTTAAAAAAAAAAAACTAAATGCAATGATTTTCGTGACTTATTGCAATTAATGTTATTTTTGATATAATAAAGTTAATATTATAGTTATTACTACCCAGTAAATTCGCTACATAAAACAAAGCAAAAAATAAAATAAAAAAGCTCAAATTTTAAAAAAAAATATTATAGTGAATTTTATTTGTTAACGGATAAAATTCCAAGAAAGTTTTATCTAAAATATATGAAACATTATTTTTTTTAATTGACTTTTCAACCATGCGTGATGTTAATTATGTTATATTAAATTGTTATGTTTTTTTATTTATAGACACTCACGAACACCTGTGATGGTCTAGTCATCTATGTATCATTCATCTATGTCATCCCCCCAAGGAAATCAATATTTTTCTAAAAAATAGAAAAACCATTTTTTCATAAACTGTATAATTTTATTTACGAACATTTTGTTATCATGTTAATCGCAACAGAATGAACTTGAATTTGAAAATAATCAGCTTTACTTGAAAAAAAACTATTTTAACTTACGAATACGGAATGTGTTATACAATGAGAAGTAATTTTGCTTGTTAACAATCAATGGTGACCTTATATTGCATAACAGTTTACGTTGGTAACGGTTTTAATTTTTAGTTGATTGTTTTTAAATAAATTCAATATAAATGTTATAAAACTATCAAACAACTTAGAATTTCATTAAGAAAAATTAGTTTAAATATGTTTACTAGTTTAAACTAATTAAATAAAATAAGTTTAAATAAAACTAGTTTAAACTAGTGTGACTAGTTTAAAATAGTGTTTCCCAGCAAAAAAGAGATTAACTGAAATAAGTTTATAATTGAAAATGGTCCTTGTCCAATATGGTTTTTTTATTTTTACTACAAGTTTAACAGCTGATAATTCTCGAACTAATAATTAAATCTTAGTTTTTTTTTATTTCGTGAGAACTTCTTGTACCTTTTTTTCTTATACATCTTCGTAATTTCAAGTTTCAGAGTCTTATACAAAGCAAAAATTAAAAATTAGAAAAAAATGAAAAAAGTAAGAAAAAATTAAATTAAAAAAACCGCATACGAAAATTTCCTTTTAAGCATGTCAAATTTTAACTATGTAATTGCATTCTGGAGGCATTTGGAGCGGCTCGTATGAAATCTTTCCTACAAGTGTAACAGCTAATAAATCTCGAACTAATTATTGAACGCAATTTTTTTTTTCATCGTACTCCCTGCACATTTTTCGACATACCATCGGTATTTCACGCTTTTATAGTTTTTGCGCAGCAAACAAAATGTAACTGTATATTTAAGTATTTGAAAGATCAGTGATTATTATTATGAAGTCAGATTAGAAAAAAACAATCATTGTGGTTAATCCAATGTGTTGATGAAAAAGAAAAAGGAATTATATTAACGTGTCTTACAAACTATTACCGTATTACACAAACAAATGAGTAATACGGTATATGTTTGTGTAATACGGTAATAGTTCGTAAGACATTTATTTTCGGGGTTCTTGATTGCTAATATAAGATCAATTTACAGAAAACTAAATTTGGATATACGAGTTTTATTGCAATTGAAAATAAATTTCAATTTTTGGGTTTTCATCGAGTATTATTACTGTGATATCTGGGGTATGAGTGTATTTAAAATTTGTGTTACAATAATGGTTCGATTTGACGTGCAAAACGGATAAAGAAATCATTCGTAAGCTTTGTTTATATATTTGTTTATACAAACTCTGAATTCATAATTTCTATAAGATGTGCGATATTTTGAACTATCGAATAATTGCTGTAAAATAAATTTCTTTCAAAGAACTACCTTCATATGCTTTATAAATTCATTTTTTAAAAATCTAATTTAAAAAAAGAGAAGAAAGCAATTCATTAGAATAAGGCGTCCTGTATAATTTGCGTGCTTTCAGGATCTTTTACTTAGTTTTTACTGAAGCATTTTGTCGTTTTATAAAATAAGATAATTGAAACTTACTGAATTACCTAATTTTTTTCATTATCATTTTGTACTCTAATAATTAAACATTGTTATTTCTTTAAGAAATTTTATAGTTTGAATATATTACACACTTTTGTTATAGAGAAACAAAACTATTTTCTTTACATGTTTGAATTTATTTTTTAGAAATATTAATACAAAATAAAATAAAGAACACATTTCTTTAGAAAATAATTTTATAGATGACGCATTTTCGAATTTTTGCTTGCTTTGAACTGTAGTATTTTCTCTATTTATCTTCTAAAATAAGATAATAAGATAAAGACACTTTAATGAGTTAACTAATTTTACCATTATGAGTTTTGTCTCTTACTAATTAAAACTTGACATTTATAATTTTTACGAGAATGATATTTCGAACATCTTTATGACATTACAATAAAATAATTTCTTCGTAAAATTTTTTTTATATTCTTTATTTTTTTGATGAATACTATTGTAAAATGAGAATTCCCTTAAAAAGAATTATTGTATAAAAATGGCACATTCTTAGAATCATTTGCTTATTATCTACTGTAGCATTTTGTCATTTTATAAAATGAGAAAAAACGAGATCTTCTTTAAAAAAACAAATTATTCAACAACAATAGTTCGTAAGTCATGCAAAATTTTAAATCAAATTCCATATACTTATAGTGAATATAAAGATAAAATTTCTCAAACTTTAGCGTGTAGTAACCTAAATAAAAATAAATGGATTTTTTCTTGTGATAAACCAAAAGGATTAAGTATTTATCTGAAAAAGTTAGACTATTACACACTGACTGTTTCTCATAAAAGAATGATATATTTCGTAGGAACTATATTTCAGTTTTATCATTGAAGGAAGATAAAAGTAACACACCTAATGTACCATGATGCAAACAGTTATAAATGAACTTTGAATTTATTTTCTTGCTCTTCTTCATGTGGGATATATTTAAGAGTAACAGTGGAATTATACTGTGTAAGCAAGCATGGATGGATTTATCATTATATCAGAATTTATATCATAGCGCTTTATTTTCTTCCCAATTTTCCCTCTATTATTAAAGTTATTACCATTATTTTCTCATATAAAAATTATTCAATGCGCAACAAAATTAAAATCATCCAAATTGCTTTTTTTGCTTTCAATGTTTTTCTCATTCCTGTATTTTTGTAAATTTAGTTGGTATTTTTTATGTTTTATATGATCTTGTGCACTCTTGCCTATGTAACCTAGTGTATTAATTAAAAATAAACATTTATAAATTTATCAAGTTTCAAAACTAGCGGTACAAATGATTTCAAAACTGAAGCTTTCATTAAGAAATTTCACATTAAAGGTTAATAATACTAGTTAAAACTAATAATAAATTAAAATTATTATGAAACAATGTCAAATAATTCATATTGCACTTTTCTTAGAAATTAATATTTCTTTAAAAAATTGTCGAACGCAAATTTTTCTAAGCTTTAACAATATAGTTGTCGTTCTATAATATTTATCATGTTCAATCTTATCTTTTATTTACAAGTTTCTACCACCCCAAATATAATAATCGAGGAAATTTTTATTAACTTCTTTCACTTTTTAATCAAAACAATAAAAAGTTTTTTTAATTGCTTTTGCATTACATTTTATTAAAAGGTAAAAATATAAGATAATCTAATTTTGCGTTTGGCTGTTTAAAAATGGATTATATTTTACAATTTTAATTGCAGATAATTACATTTATTACAGAAAATATTTAAAAAATTTGATACATTTTAAAGTTTCAACCATGAATTTTAAAAATACTTTATCAATATTATTACATCAAATTAATTTTGACGTATAAATATTATTTAAACGTATACAGATTTAAAAGCACTCTTTTTACACAATGTGTGTTATTTTTTCATCTTATCTTTCAAAGCAAGTTTAAAAACAGTTTATTTTTAATTTCTTTATATTTTTGTCAAATCAATTTTTTAAAAAAAACTCAGTTAGTATGAATGACAGAAACAAGTGGTTGTCAACAATGACTAAGACGACATGGTTTGACAACTAAAACATCTGTAATTTCTAACTTTTTCCAGCAAATGTCGACTATCAGCATGCTCTGATGCTGAAAGTTGAATCAGGTTTTTGTTACAATCCTAGCCTACTCTGACAAATGTCGACTTTTAATAAGCGTTGAGAGTAAATGTTGAGACAATTTTTCTTAAATATGGCTAATTCTTACTCATGTCAGCACATATCGACATGAAGCGTGCCCTGATGGCAAAAATTAAATCAGTGTTTTGTTATATATTTTGCTTACTCTGAGAAGGTTCTTTTAATTGAATATCATTTTTCACTCGCATTTTCAAGTATTGACATTCAACATGCATTGATGGTAAATGAAATGTAGATTTAAAGGTTTTGCTGAATATTTCTTATTTACATCAGAAAATTCGACATTTACATGCCATGACAAGGATGATGTAAGTAATACAAGTTCTGATAATAGTAATTTTTGTGCAATATTCACAAGCAAAGCATGCCGAAACTTGACATTGCTGGAGTAAATTAAAAAAATGATGATATTAATAAAATAAAAAAATGTTTTTGGTGTATACTAAAGCAAATTCAAATTTGATTGATGATAATATTAAGCTAACGCTATATTTTATTTTATAACCTTCATTGAACAGCTGACCCAATTTTTTGGGTTTACGACTACTCCGTATCCTTGTAACTTTGAGCCCAATCCAGAAGACAAGGGAACTCCTGGATCAGGAATTGAAAGAAATTTGCCTTCGTGGAAGACTTTTTGATGCAATTAACCAGCATTTGCGTTACATGTACCCATGGTTTGCCTGACGGCAAGGGGACTCTAACACATGATCTGTCTACCACTGAGGATATTTTATGTCAGCAATGTGGTTGGAACAAGCAGGATGCTGAATTCGTATCAGTACTAATTTTAGTACTTTTACAGTGAGAAAAAAGTATGGTTGGAATTGACAGAATATGGTAAGATTTACCGTGTTTCAGGTACTATGGAAATACCAAAACTCACGGTAATTTTTGCTGAAGTGCTTCGGCAACGATTTTCGTAAAATTAACAATAGAATACTGTTTTATAATTTGTGTTAAAATTCGCTAAATGTGGAAACATTTGATAATTTTATCCTGATTCCTTAGAGAATGGCATAAAAACCATTTACTCTGTTAAATTTATATAAAAGTTTTGCATTTTTACTAAATGTTTGGTAGAACATTTAACTAAAAGGAACTGATATCGGGAAAACCAGAATTTCTTTTAAACCATAAGAACTGAGCGGAAAAATTACCAAATTATTAGTTTAAATACTACCTATTTTGGTTTTATTACTAGATTTTTTTTATCAGAAGTGTCTTTACCATATAGTGTGTTAATTTCACTCGAATTTTTTTCGCAGTGCACGATAACGATTCTATTAGAAGTGGCAAATAAAATAGGGTATATTAGATTAAGTAAGTATTTCAGATCCTATTAGAATAAATACATAATTCAAAGCACATTAAAACAACCAAATTATTCAGAACATCTGAAAACAAATAAATAAATTCAAACATACCGAAAAATGCTGCAAACCCAAGACACAAGAGGTTTGAATGCAGTAATAGAAATACTATTTTAAACTCAAAAAAAGCTATTTAAAGCCTCTGCCTTCTAGGCAAAGTCCTAAAGTGAGAGGACAAGGAAGTCAATATTATCACGAGCAAGAGAAAAAAAAAGAGAAATAAAAAAACAAATAATTTATCAAAAAATAACAATCCTAAACAATGGACCTAGATGCTATAAAATGGAAAGAAGAAGCAATAAATGGTCAGCAAAGAATAAGGATATATAAAGCAGTAAAAGTTTTTCCTTTCATGTGTTTCACACTTCATATGACAGCATTCGTTATCAAATTAAATTGATAACATGTTAGATAAGAAATTAAGACAGTTGTTTTATTCGGAATGCAAGTTTAATATCTTTTGTACGTCATTTTGTTATAATTGTAAAAAATACGTCATATTACGTTAATTGGTTTATAACAATCGTATTATATTGTATTGAACGATGATAAATTCGATATCATTAAGCCCTTTAAAAATTGCATCGAATTTTAAATTGAACTGCAATTTTTAAAGTAATATGCGTTTTAAGCTACCTTAAAGTAATTTTTAAATGACATTTTGCCTTATCGTAAGCTGATTAAAGGTTTTCACATTATCCACTGCTTAATATATTATAATGTAATATAATATAATATAATATAATATAATATAATATAATATATTTTAAGATTACTTAACATATATTAAAATAATGTTACCAGAGTAAATTTATTTGACAATTTTCCCACTTGTTAAATAAATGTTGATTTATTCTATCGAAAAGAGACATATTTAGGACATTTTTTCATCTAAATTTGCTTCAAAAGTGACATGAATTCTAAGCAGATCGATTTATACATAATAAATTTAATGAGTAAAACGGATCTTAAAATCTTGAAACAAATTTTCTCCAAGTTGAGTAAAATCAGAACTAAGATGAATATCTTTAAATAACGGTGCATAACAACAAAATCAACGAAGTGTAAAGGAAGTAAATCGTATAAACTAATAAGCAAAATGAACATATTTTACAAAAAAAATAATTAATTCTTATTTCAGAATTGATGTGAAAATTCTCTTAAGGTCTTACAAGAAGAAGGGAGACTTTATAATATTCCTGTGAAGAAGTTGTTTCGAAATACGTAAACACCATTATTAAAATTCCACCACCCACTCAAAGATTAAAGGTCATTGAACAGAGTAAAATCAATATTTCTTTTTAACTCATAAATGGGCAGTGATCTAAGTTATGAAAATGTCTTATATTTAGAAGAATGTAGCATTGACTACGAAAAAAAGATAATATGAAAAGGAATATGATCAAAAGAATATAATATATCAATAAAATTTGAATGATTTATTGTTAATATTAAAAAATTTATGAAGCTTCGTAAAATTTCAAAATAGCTAAACTATTTTATTCAAAGTACTTGTTAAAATCTTCTAGATCTAGATGATATAATTTTATTTTTTCTTAAAAACAAATAGTTTCGTATTTTTTTTAAAAAAATGTCTTGTTCAATTGTTAATTTTTTTAAATCTCAGTTGATTTTTTTTCATTAAGAATTAGGGCTATTTACTTTTAGATATATATTTTTCTTCAAAAAAATTATCAAACTTTTTATAATTTATATTTTTATCATATTTTGGCTGTAAAATCCTATTGTAAATTTATTAAAATAACCGAAAAAAGGTGTTTTATAATGCCTTCTTCTCTCGATAGCAGATAAAGAGCAGAATAACGAGAATGATAAAGAGCAGAAAAATATTTAGAGACACCATAGTTTTCTGATTACAACATTGTGCAACGTTACTTCAACATCATTTTGTGTATTATTATATACTATTTTAAACTATTATGACAAGAGAAGTAAAGCTATGATAGTGCTGTAGCGTTATAACATATAATTACATCGTCAGTGCTGAGACATATAAGCATTTCTGTGTTGTGCTATGCTTTAGCTCGTATGTTGATATGAGTTAATGGTACTGAAACGGCTGTCTGACGTTGAAAAATGTTTCGTTGTTCTTTCGTTTTTCCACATTATTTTTGTTTACAGTTTAAGCTTGAAAATTTTTTAGAAAACTTGTAAAAAAATAAAAAGGAATTTTGTAATTTAATATATTATTTTAAAAGTCAAAAGTTATTTATTAAATATAAGATTTTGAAAAAAAAAAATTTCTGTAGCAAACAAGTCGAGCCATTTTTCTTAATGGTTGCTCATTTTTTTCCAGTCATCATTTACAATTAAGAAAATATGTACTTTCTTATAATCTTTTTGTTTAAATTTATTACCCGTCCACGTTGAAGTAATGATATATATACTATACTGAGAAAAAAATATGGCCAAAACTACCAGAAACTGGTAAAATTTACCGTGTCTATGGTTTTATGGGAACACCATAAAGCTCGGTGGCTTTTGGCGGATCACTTTGGTAACGATTTTGATAAAATTAACACTAAAATATGGTTTTACAACTTGTGATAAAATTTGGTAAATGTGTAAAATGGGGCAATTTTATCATGATACTTTAGAGCAGGGCATAAAAACCATTTATTCAGTTAAATTTACTTTAGAGATTTGCATTTTTATTAAAAGTGTGTCAATAAGAACAATAATTTTAAAAACCAGTATTTATGGCAAACCATTACCATATGAACAGAAAAATTTGCCAAATAAATGGTTTAAATGCTGTATATTTTGGTTTTATTAATTAGAATTATTGCTGCTTTTTTAACAAAAATATCAATACCATACAGTACGGTAATTTAACCATAATTCTTTTCGCCGCATAGGTATGCACATTTTTCAGAAGAAATATGTTGAAATTGGCTCCCAAATGTTAAAAAGCTAAAACACTATTTATTTATCTATTTTAAGAACACATTTTATTGTATTACCAGAAGTCTGCGTTCTTAGACTTCTTATTCAAGAAAAATAATTTTAAAGTGAGAGGATTTCAAATCTTTCGTCTTTTAAATTCCTATACCAACTTTTCACTTTAAATTTGGGGTTATGAAAGAAAAATGGCTTGTTAAAACGGCTTTAAAGGAATTTAATTTTGAGTTATGGCAAGGATAATTTTTTTCAATTATTTGTTTACCCCAATATTTTGTAAAGTATAAGAAATTTGGAACTAATGCTTGCGTTTTTCTTATAAAAATTATGAATACAGATTTTTCAGCCTTAGAAAAGTTATAGGATAACAGCCATAACTGAAATTCTTTTGATTCTTCTCGACATCCTAAAGTCAATTTTTTTAACAAAAAGAATTTGCTGTGTTTATTTGAATCTATTAATCGAGTTCTTTAAATTCTTGCTACAAATTTTATATTTTAAAATTGAGAACTTTTTTTACTTTTAGTTGGAGTAATTATTATGTTTTGCAGGGTGCATTTTTACAGCTTGTTTATTTCTCGAAAAAATTAAACTCTTTAAATATATCATATAAAAATCGCTAACAATATTGTATATAATTGAATATGTATATGAAAAGATTACATTGGGGAACAAATTTTTTGTTGTATTTATGCAAATACTTGATCTTGCCTAATTCGGATGTGAGGTTTTCAAATCTGAAATAAGTTTTGTTCCTAAAGGTATAGATTTTTTAAAATGACAGTTGTAGTCCATTTTTTGCCGAAATGTGCAAGTTTAAAAACGTTACATGTAGCAGGTCACGTAAATGTAGCCACTATCTTCTAGGGTGGGGGGTACATCATCGTGATTAAAACGGCATAGGAGCCGATGCCTGGGAATGTCACCGTACGCGACTAGGGGCACTTTTCTATCATGACTTGTTCAGAAGCAAGCGAAGAAACAGTTCATAATAGTTAAGCTGCCCTTGTGGCGTATGACGATATTTCGGGGAATGAGTTCCTCTGCCATTTTAATCCTGATGTGATGTGCTTTAATTCCCCTAGAAGTTTGCCGCTTTATTTATACGACCCCCTGTTATATATATAACATTTTTAAACTTGTACATTTCGATAAAATAAAGACTAAAATTGTCATTTAAAATAATGTAGCTTGGAGAGATAAGCAAATAGCAAATTTGAAAACTGCGAGGTAAAAATATCCAAGATCGGTATAAAAATCGGATGTAACACAAAACAAAACAAAAATGCTCTCCAGTGTAATTTGTACAAAGAAATTTTTATAATGTACATCTGTGAATCATGCAAAATTTTAAAATAAAAAATATATATTTAAGCACATTCTAGTTTAAAAAAGTCATGAATTGTAATACATTTTTAAAATATGATAACCCATATTTTAGTAACATGCTTTTTGGCTTAATTAATCATGGTACATGGTTTCCATTTTACACATTATTTACAAAGTGCTTTGTTTTTATAATAACTTAAATGCATTTTAGCATTCCTTGCATTATAAATTTAAGCTTCATAAAATTAACTGGAAACGTACTTTACAAGTTGAATTGACGTGAAATATGTTTTCAATAATAAATTTCTTTAATAAATAAAAAATTCTTTTATTACTGAAATTCTTTGTTCCGCATTTACCTTACCTACTCTTTAAGCATCACAAGAGCTTTGTGGAATTTTCTCTGTATTTTAATAAACAAGAGTTGGTATTGTAAATTCTGGGATAAATATCTGATTCGTTTTAACTTTGATCTATTAAGTTTTTTTTATATTGTAAGTAAAAAACTTCTTTTCTATCGACTATAATGGACAGGTTTTCTAAACACCGAAATTATTATTTTTCTCATAAATAATTTTGAATATGACAATTAATCATTGAAGATTGATAGCATAGTTTATCTGAAATTCATATTAAATGTTAGAATAGCTTAGAATATAACTGACGTAAGAAGTGTTGAACATTGAGAATAAGTTAAGTGAAATTAGAGAAACAAATATTAATAATAAAAAACGAAAAATCGCTAGAAAAAAAAAAGCCAAAAATTGTCTACAATAGCTTAAAAAGCAAAATTTGTTTTTTTTTTAACTAATTACAAGCAATTTATTTAAAACAATAATAAAAACGAAACATCAATATTTTAAAGAACAAAATGTTTCGAAATAAGATTGATAAAATTTGAACAAAATATTTAAATCAGCCTTTATCTAAATTACGAGATCTGGTTCAGGTTTTATTTTAAATTTTAAAAAAATCTGCCATAATTCAAAAACACGAGTCACAAAAAATAAAATATAACTAAAAGTTCAGAAAATTTGCTTATTTCTATCAATATCGATCAATCCATTAAAAAACTGAAAGTGTGGAATCGTAAAACTAAAAATAAATAAACTAATTAATAAAAAAAATTTCATGGTCACGAATACTTTTACAACAAACCTTGTAATTTCTTTATTTTAATTACTTCAGAATATTGTCTAAGCAATGTAGTAAGAAATAAAAACAAACTCTGTATTCTTTAGAATTTTTTACCTTTAGTGTCTATAAATGTTTTTCATGCATATGTAAAAGTATATCTTTTATGCATACATAAAGCGTATTAAAAGCTACACCTATACGCCCATAAGAGGAAACAGAATGCTCAATATCTAAGGGATTATTGATAAAATATTAGTAAAAAACGTATAGATAAGCAAATTAAAGAAACAGAGTACTTCGATCCGTTCACTATAACTTTTTTAAAAAAATAGATTACAATATTTATTTCATATAGAGCATAAATAAGAGGAGATACGTAAATTATCTCAGTAGCTTTAGTTAACATTTTATTTCGAAATTTACTAGATAATTGGAAAAACATAATTGGAAAAACATAATTGGATATATTGGAAGAACATAAAAAAGACTTTTTAAAAAAAACTATTTTTATCCATTTATTTTATTATGAATACATATTATATTATATACACCATACGGAACATCTAAGCCTATATAGAAGAAAATATCTAAAATATCTGAACAGGTTATGTTAAAATTTTATTGACAAATGAAATAAATATTTACTAAACGAATTAAAGAAACATAATAAGTTTAAAATAACTTTGATAATTCTTCATTATACATTTTAAATTATTTTATTAAATTTAGAATACTGCCTATTTCATATACAATATTTAAGCGAACACGAAAGAATATCTTCATGGTTTATGTGGAAATTTCATTACTAAGTGAGTTAAAGAAGCGGTATAAGATTTTTAAAAAAACTATTGTGGTTTTATTATTATTATTAGTTTTTTTTACTTAGATTTTTAATAATATCTACTTACATGCGATGACTGGCAGTAGGTTTTTCGTCGTTGTCTGCTAAAACGTACTTTTTACACCTCCCAAATAAACACGTCATGAGAAACTATTTACGATTTCATCAAAATAATAAAAACTAACTGGATATCCAATAATTTGTATTGTTCAAAATCATCACGATCATTCGATCCGCATTTCACTATCACGATCAGAATCATTCGTGATGCCAACTCCAACAAAACTTCTGCATAATCACAATTTTTTCTTTTGCATACTAATTCATCTTAAGGACAAACGATTTAATTGAAAATCGTCTGCTCTTTCGTGAAATAATATTCACAATAGCACATACGTAACTTTCGGGTCTTCCCTTTACTGACACGCCGATCTTTGAGGAAAAACGTTTTCTGCATTCAATTTAGGACCCGTTTGAGTCTAGGTTAGGGTTGCCGAGAGACAACTACACAGTTTTCACACACATCATCTGAAAAAAAAATTATCGTTTGATACAATAGAAAAACAAAAGAGTATTTCCTCACAGAGGCGTTGAAAAGCAGGTTTGTTGTGGTAGTGTTTATGAAGGAAAACTTTGATCTGATAAATCAAAGCTGATAAGAGATGTTTTAATCAATTTGTATCCCATATTAAGCAGTTGAAAATATAAGTTGTTCATGTATTTTTAAATAAAAGTGTTTTAACTTGAAATAGTGATACATTTATTTCTTAAAAACGGTTTTTTTATGATTTTTTTAATTGTTTTAAAAGTTTAGATAGAAACTGACGAATAGCTGATTTTTTCACAACTAAGCATTTTTAAATGTAAATAATTTAAATTATTAATTAAATATAATAATTTTAATTGTTATAAAATTGTTTAAATATAAATAATTTTATAATGATTTTTAAATGCAATAATTTTAACATTTTTAAATATAAAAATTGCTAAACACAATCATTTTAAGATTTTTAAATACCACTATAATTTTAACATTTTTAAATGTAATAATTTTTGATAAGTAATTTAATAAATAATTTTAAATTTAATTTATTTAATTTTTTGATTAGAAAACTACCTAAGAAATGACTAAGTATCGTTTTTTTATGTTAAAACTATTAAAACTTCAGATAATTCCATACACATTAAAAACTTCCTCAATTTACCTACATTCTTTTTTTTTCTTCAAAAAAGTAAAAAAAATGAGTTTTTTTCTAATTGATAATTTTTTGCACTTAAATGTTATTTAAATCTCTACAGAAGACAGAGCCTCGAAAAAAAATTATTTTTTTCAACAATAAAATTTTTATAAAAATGTAGATTAAATGAGTGTTTAATTCAATGATAAAATTTTTATGACAAAATGACCGATACTACTTGCACTATTGATGCTATTTGTATATGAGTAACGCTAGAAGATGTAGTGATATTTAAACCAATGAATACAGATTTCAATATTTGTGGCGATGATTATTGTAATCTTCAACTAAAAATAACTTCGCAAAATATGCAAAAAATTAAAGGAAGTGCTTGTGATTAAAAACTCATGAGAAACATTTAAATCCCTTGTATTCTTAATTTTTATTGTAAATAATTGGACAATTTATATTGTTTTTGAGCATTATTGATCGACAATTTAATGTGCTTTTTAAGCATCCAAAGCAGCTTATCTTACCTCTGTTTAAAAAAAAATTTTAAGTTACTTAGTTTCCTTAAGAATTAAAACTATACAAATCTGGGACTTCAATATAAATATTTTCTGTAACAGGAAATTTTGATGATTTAAAAGTTAAACCTATACTCTCAGAAAAATCAATTTAACGCTAATCCGCAATATCGGTAGCTTGAACAGTAATATTGAGACAAACTACTACAACCCTAATAATATGGTCTCAATAATGCTATATTATTATTATTAATACTTTATTACTACTTATTAATGTCAACACCTTATTATTAATACTTTATTTTAAGTAATGCTTTATTATTATACTATCATTAATGCCTTACTATTAATAATACGATGCACCTTAGTATTATAAATAAAACGGTGCAACTTATTAAGGTTCAAGGTTAATATTCAATGTATTATGGTGTTAAATCGAAATTTCTACTCAAAGTAAACCATAACATCATGCATTCACATTTAAGAAATTTTAATTTGCGTGATGATATGGTTCAACTTGGATCGGTCTTTATAGGTTATAGAAAACTAAAACGAGTTTGTAGTTCAGTAATCTTAAAATTTTTTTAACAATCTATTAAGCATGGCAACGTTAAAATAATTTGTTATGCATGGAAATGTATTCCAAAAAGCTTCGCATCTTACTTCATGTTTGTGCAAATGTTATGCTTTTAAAATCTTTTTTTTTATTATTGAAGCATAGTAAAATAACCAGTAAGTTTATATACGACGTATTGTATCAAATGAATCGGATAAACATTAAACCATAATAGTTTTAACATCGTGCAAACTTGTGTCCTAATATCAAGTAAAGTTTCTCCCATTTTAAATGTTAAATTTAATCATATTTTCAAGCAAATTGGAATCATACTATCGTGTAATCAAATTTTGGAAAGATTAATTTGCACGATAATATGGTTCAACCCATCAGCTCTTTATAATAGTCGAAGGAAATTTTCGTGACATTACAGTTCCATAGTTACTAAGAGTGTGGATTCCAATGTGTTAAAGTGATAAAAAATCTCACTTTCTATAATACCAAGTTGCAATGACGCAGTGATTAAAGTCGTTAAGCTAATTCTAATGTGTTAAACTGAGAAAAATTTAACATCGTGCAAACTTGTGTCCTAATATCATGTAAAGTTTCTCCCATTATAAGTGTTAAATTGAATCATATTTTCAAACAAATTGGAATCATACTATCGTGTAATCAAATTTTGGAATGATTAATTTGCACGATAATATGGTTCAGCCCAACAGCGCTATATAAAAGTCGAAGGAAATTTTCGTGACATTACAGTTCCATAGTTACTAACAGTGCGGATTCTAATGTGTTAATGTGAGAAAAATCTCACTTTCTATAAAACCAAGTTGCAATGACGCAGCGATTAAAGTCATTAAGCTAACTCTAATGTGTTAAACAGAGAAAAATTTCACGAGTTTCTAAAATTCAAGCCGCGATGACACAGTGATTAAAAGCATTGAGCTATCTGGGGGAGTTAATGGGGGTAGATTCTCAGAGGTTGCTTGAAACCCATAAAGCTTTAAACAGATGGGTAGCAGCTTATCTTAAAAGTAACGGCGACTAGCGCGCAATGCCGATGAAATTGCCACAAAGTTGGCCCAGAAATCGTGGAACCGTTAGCGACATAGCCCACAACGATTTGTTGATTATTTGTTGTCATTGGCGATTTGTTGTCATATGATTGCTTTAGAGAAAGCTTTACGGTTTTTTTTCTATAAAGCTTGAGTTTTCTATAAAGCTTGAGATAGATTTTGATAACGAGCTCTTAGTGAAATAAATGAATAATCAATCTAAAGTAAAGTAGGAATTCTTAAAATACATAAGATCAACAAACTGTTTAAATGAGACACAAATTTTTTTTTTACGTGGGATGTTTTTAATTGTACTGAGCTGAAATAAATAATGTTTTTAAAACAGTTCGCCTTTTGTTTCTAAGCTCTGTTGTTAAACATAAAAATTCTATAGATCATAGGTCATTTTCATTTCCCAGAAAAGTTAACAAATGCTTTAGGAGAAAACCTCATAATGTAAATTACAGATCTGAAAATAACAATAGCTTAGTTTTGGAATAAAATAGTCTTTTCTTACGATTCAAAAACACAACTTTTAATGCAATCCACGTTTCTTGGCATTTTTCCTACACATTTACAGTTCTCAGAATCGTGCATCGAAAGCTAAAATGAATAATTTTAGATCGCAGTATAGTCTTTCTATAATGCTTTTGTTTACTTAAGCTGTTTCAACCCCAACAATTTTTCAGGCTTAACTTTTCTAAGTTTCTTCCGAACTCAATAAAATATTTTGGGGCTTAGTTTCAAATTGTGCATCCAATTTATCACCTTTCGTACTGTCCCTGATTTCTTTCATTCAGGCATTATACTAAGGGAATTATATAATAAATTTTTTAATAGTAAATATAATTAAATAATCATATAATTTGCATACTTAAGCTTGTTCGAGTCAATAATTCTAACATGTGTATTGATGACTTACCTCTAATATTTTTAATGTTGCTTCCAATTATGCTTCGTACATATAATGCATCAACATAAAATTGCATTTTCGATATTAATTCAAATTTTTTTTATTGAAACCTGAACCAAATAATTCTGCCCTTATACTATTGAAATTACTTGTGGGATAATTTTCCATCTATAGAAATCTGTTATTTCCATTCTATCTATTATACCTATTCAATCTCAGTTTTTTTAGAAAAATTACTGCGATTATTGTTTTATTGTATACTGTATACAATTCGGGATTAAATTACAGTAAAAAGTACCGGCACTCAGAAAACCTGTACTTTTCCCCGTAAAATCTATTTTTACCGGAACATGTTACGGAACAAAAAAAAATCTGATACAACAAGATTTTCATAGTAATAATCACCGTAAAATCAGAGAATTACTCTAAGTAAATAAATATTACTGTAAAAATTACGGCATAATATTTTACGGAAAGACCAGATTTTTCGTATGATGTACCTAAAGCGCCGGTACTTAATACCGTAATTTGCGGAAATTTTTAGTGTAGATGCAACAACATTTCTATAATTTTTAAAGCTAAAATGAAATGTTTCTTTTTAATTGGGATGTCAATGATTGGTCTTTGTTTTTGTTAAAGTCAACAAAAAACGTTTATTTTATATAATTTTCTGCCACTTTTAAGCACAGATGTAACATCAAAAAACTTTTTTGCAAAATTATTACGTATGTAATTATTAGATTTATTTTATTTGGTTTATTTTTCTTCTATGCAAAAATACAATTCTCATTAATAGATTTATTCAACTTTGCGGTGTTCTTTGATCTCGACATTTCATACCAAAGTGTATTCCTGATGACCATACAATATTACATTATTTAAAAATTTAAATACTAATTTATTTATTTTTTAAAAATCCAAACATATTAAATTTTTCAACTAATTGAATTTTCTAAAGTAGACAAATATTAGCGTCCTAAATTAGTCCTAAATTTCGAAAGATATAATGTTTTGAAGACGAAAAAAGACATTTTGCTTTGATTTGTATCAATTGTTTTTTTTTTGTTTTTTTAAATATTCCATTTTTTTAAAATTTATTTAAAAAATAAAATATTTTATTTTATTTTGCTTTTTTTTCAAAATTGTAACAATTTTAAGCGCTTAAGGGTTTTGTCGACTATGCATTTTGACGGTTTTATTAAGTTTCAATAGAGTTAAATATGAGACGTTTTCAAGATTGTTTTTCCCATTTTGTTAAAATGAGCTTTGAGTAGAAGATTTCTATTTTAAAGAAAAAGTAAGCTGCGTTCGCTTAGGCACTTCGCAAGTGACGTAATAG